AAAAAAAAAACACATCTTAGTAAAACTAATACCTTCTCAGCTTCGCATCGAAGCTAAAATTAAGCATAAATAAATACGAGTTATATTTGGCTTCTCGACAAATCTCATATTATATACACAGTGATAAATTGAGCATTAGACTCATTTTTTTTGAAGCTTTTGAATATTTTTTAAATTTTAGCAAAGAAAAAATACTTTTTTTTCGAAATAACCAAAAATTAATAAAAAAATCTAATCTCAAATTCAATGCTTATATTGACACTATTATGATAAAGCTTTAAGAACCATTAGTTCCATAAATAAACACTGATTGAAATTTAAAAACATTATCTATCTTAATATAATATATTACTCTTTTGTTAGGTCTACATAACAATTTACCTCAGTAGATTGGTATACTAATCATAACAATCATATTGATAAACTTGAAAATATCAAACGGCACTTTTTAAAAATATTAGCACATGAATTATAAAACCTGCATATCTCTCTAATTAAATCATTAACATCTAGAGGTTATATAATGACGTACTTTTATTCATAAATTAATGAATTGTATATTATTCTGTCCAAAATATCTAAGTATAATAAACTTTAAGATTCCAACTATTAATTAAAGAAAGAGCCTGGTCTTAATTCATTACTTGAGATGGCGTTTTGTTTGAAGCAAACACCGGGTAATTTACAATAATAACTTAACTCTACCCGTCAGAAGGAGGGAGAGTCGGTCCAAGACAATTCAGAACGTGCAGAAAAATTGCTTCTTGACTTGTGCAATGTAAGTGTAGTCGGGAAAAGAACAACAAAAGCAGAAGCTATAAAAGGATATATAAAAGAGACAACTTTAACTTCCTACATCAAAGGTTTATACTCAAACATTAGACAGGTAATTTAATCTAAGAATTTAGCGTCATTAGAAAAGGCAATTAAAGAAAGACTAGAAGAGGAAAAACTATAGGTACCAAATAAAGAAGCGCAAAGATTAACTAACGATAATAAATCAGAGTCTAGAACAAATTCTATGTATTGTAGTAACTGTCGGAAAACAAAAACAATACTTACCAGTGTCGTTTTTCAAAAGAGGGTGGACGAGTTGAAGATACAGGACAGAAAATAAGATATAACAAATAAGTAAATGTCAAGAAAATATCGTACACTTATTGTAAAGCAAACGGACATACCAGGGAAGNCTTATTGTAAAGCAAACGGACCTACCAGGGAAGAATGTTATAAGAAAAAAAGAGCAGATACTCATCAGAACATGTCTCAACAATACTCACCGGGAAATGGGTAGACGTCGAACGACAATGGTGAGCGTTCTACCAAATAAATCAAAGCAATAGCCCAAATATAAAAAGATTATTGCAATTCATAATTAAATTAGAAGATAATCACGTAATCTTAACAAGTCCACAGTGTGTAACTAGTAATATGCGATTACTTGCGAGTACTGGAGTGGACCTGAATCTAATAAAAATGAACTCTCTAAATAACAAAGTGATCATTAATAATTATAAACAGCATCACCTGCAAGGTGTTAGTCCGAACAATCGGTTCTACTTATTTGACAATAAATATACCTATAGCTTGCTGTAAGTTGCTGCAAATCGAAAAGATATATACAATGACGTAACATCCACAATCGAATGGAGTTTTAGAGAGATTACATTGAACTCTCGCTGAATATCTTCGTCACTACGTTAATGAAAAGAAACAAAATTGTGACGAATATATAGCTTATGCTATGTTCTTTTATAACAGTACGACACACACAGCCATTGGTTTCCAACCACATGAGCTATTATATGGTTATCCAGTCGAAGTTTTGCATTCACTAAACAGGGTGCCACAATTATGATGATTTTACATGTGAGCTACGTAGAAAATTACAAAAGTGTCATTTCATAGCACGTGACAGACTTATATCAAAGATACTAAATTCAAAAAGCCACTATGACAAAAAACAACGAGTACTTAGTCTTAATATTGGTGACAGAGTTTTATTAAAAGAACAACAGCAACTGAGAAAACTTCAACCCAAGTGGCTGGGTCCCTTTGAAATCACATACATACATAGCAAAGAGAATGCATTCTTAAAGTGTGAAAAGAAGTACGTGCTCATTTAAACGAACTAAAGTTGTTTTACACATCTTAGTTTGACAATATATTTTAATTATAGTATTGTAAATAATATCTAACCAAATAATTCTAAATTAAGTAATTTAAAAAAAAAAAAAGGACGTCAAAATAAGATGAAAGAATATTTGTTGTACACAATTGATTTTCGTGCTACTGACAAACGCACAATATTCGAACAGACCAATTCAACAAACATCAGGAATTTATTTTCAAACAATCAGTAACCTACAAATTTTCAACTTGCACTGGAATCTATTGTCTTATGTAAACATAACTATCTTGTAAAGAAATCCAAGGTGAAATTCGTAATCAATCGAATAATTTTGTGAATTAGTGGAAATCATCAACTCTAATTTCACAGAACACAATTGCATTCTATTTAAACAGCAAATTTCTGAATTTTTAGACAAAATCAACAACAACATAGAAAATATACTCAAAATGTTAAATCAGTCTTATACACAGCCCTTGCAATCTAAGAGGAGATTAATAAAGATAGTTGAACGAGCTGCTAACAATTTATTTAGTGATGTAATGACACCGTTATTGAATATTATTACAAGGAAATCAGTAAACTTGAACGCTCAAGAAACCAAGTAATACATCTTACAGGAACATAAACCAATATAATTCAATCCATTGTTTTAAACGTAAATTCGTCACTTATCAATCTAGAACAATCGAAAATAATCTTAGAAGTAAAATATAATTACTTATTTCTAAAAATAAATACTACTATTTGAGAAATGAGAATCCTACAATTCAAAACAGAGTTGACAGAAAGAATTATGTTGCTAAATCAATTAATTTATCAGTATGCTTATGAAACCCTAAATTTGATAAACATTATAAACTCCACAATACAAGGATTATTACACCCTGTTATCATGAATATAAAATCGTTGATAAAACAAATAAAAATAATAAAATCTCATTTACTTCTAGACATAATCATTCCTAATAGTTGGTTAGTATCTGGAGTATCAGAACTATTACAATTGATAATATAAATGTTGTATATATTCAAAATACCTTAATTTTTTAGTAGAAAATTCCTTTAGCTTATAAGTATGAATTCACTTTCTATAAACCAATCGCATTACCGACAAAAACTCACGATAATATATTTGTTTTAATGGTTTATCACATGAATTAAATAGCAATAGAAAAACCTAGATCATGTAAATATATAGCTGAAACAATATTATGTCAATATTATGACCAACCTTTTTTTAGTATAGATAATTCATGTCATGCAAGATTGTTTAGATAACCATATGTTTTACTTAAATTTTGTATTTTAAAGTATGTAAAGATTAATTATAACATATGACATAAATTAGAACACATAAAATTCGTGGTTATACGTAGTTAGTATGGGTAATATAGGCATTAAGTGCAAACAAATTGTTCAACCAGTAACGTTAAGTATATCAGGAACGAGTATTTTAAGTTTAAAAAATAATTGTGAGGCTAACACTGATGACGAAACAATTTTAAAACCTTTAAATAATATTACTTCAAAAATATATAAAGAATTTAGTCCAACTTTTAATTTAAGCATAAATTCTGATATACAAATTAAACTGAAAAAACTAAGATCANAAATTCTGATATACAAATTAAATTGAAAAAACTAAGATCAGAGGATATTATTAATTTAAATGATAACGTGAAAACATAAAAACTTTATATATGCCACTAGGCTTCGTGGTGAAAACAGGCATTAGAGTTTATTTTTAATATTCTCTGTATTTGTATATTTACAATCTATACAATGCGTACAATAAGTAAATTTATTAAAGCAATTGAAAACATGAATAGGATGCATGGTTAGCTCATATTAGAACCCCCCCCCCTCTAAATAAAAGTAAAGTATTTACATCGTTAGTTGAAATTATTTAAATTTAGTTTTTTTTATGTTTTATATCCATTTAATTGCTTGGTAAAATAAGTCTTTACATCAGGTGCGTTTAAGACATGGGTTTGGGTTATTCGGATGTGATTTGGTGATAAGTTTGGCTATTATATTATTAAGATGATTTAATAGTTTACAATGGTATCTGAAGGAGAATAGTGTTGTAGATTCACTTAGAGTCTTAATATATAGTTCACTGTGAAGTCAATTATTAGTTATAAACCAAGGAGTACTAGTAATAATGCAAAGACATTGATTTCATTGATTGAAATGCTTGTATGATTTTTGTATTTGATAGTTTTACTGATTCCCAAAATAAAATACTGTAAGACCACATTGTTTGGAGCAAACTCTTGTATAAGATGAGTTGGTTTGATGTATAAAGATTAGAGAAAAGAAAGGGTCTTAATACGTGTAGCCGATTATTAGGCAGTTTCCGTTTAGATTTGAGGTGAGAGCTTCACGTTAATATACAGACAAAAATTAAACCAAGGTATTTTATTTCTTATTGATGAGGAATTACTGTGCTCTTTATATGTGATTTCAGAACAGTTAATAGGTTGCAAGGAGATGGTAACATGATTAGATTTAGTCTCATTAACTTTGATTTTACAGTTTTTAAACTACTTGGAAAGAGTATCTAAGTGGGACTGTACATATTGAATTGCCAGTGCTGTATCAGTATGATCAGCTAGTATAGCTATATCGTCTGCGTAAGTACTAATTAATGTATTTGAAGTAGTCGGTATATCTACAATGTAAAGAATATAAAATAATAGCGCTCTAACACTATCTTGTAGAACGCAAGGCTGTGTATAGCATGAATTTGACAGTGTGTCACCTAATTTTACTTTAAATGATCTTTTTTCTAGGTAAGATCGAATAAGTAGATAATAAGGTATAGGAAGAAACTTTTTAACCTTAAACAAAAGATTAATTAGTGTCTTATAAGTATTTTAATACACAGAGTAGGTATGTAGTATAGATACAGCTGATCATGGTATACATGGTATACGTGTATTCCAACCGCATTAAATATCTCCATTCTATGTATTCAATTGACTGTAAAAAAACAATATTTGTTATAATACATAGAATAAGAATTAACGTTACACATCTCCAATCCACGTGTAAAAATACTTGTTACTATTCATTTAAAAAAAATTAAGTTGCTAGAATCAAGCTATTTTGCAATTATGAAAACAAAATTATTAAAAACAAAAATAAAATTATGATTTTAAGTTATAAATAAACTGATAATATCGTGTAATGTTCTTTTATTTTTTTTTTTGGATACCTTTTAATGCTTGCAATATAATAGTTTGATAATTATATTTTATTGCATTGATTGTTTTTTTAAGAGAATTTTATTGAAATACTACAATAATTTTTAAGGATATATAGGTATCGATTCTGAGATAGTGAGACACAAGGCAACAGCGAATATTAATTGAATTTCAATTTATAAGAGTTATCTTTTAAATCTGTTTCCACATGTATACAAAAATACATGTTTACAAATACTAGATAAAAAAATGAAATCTCAAATACCTCCTAAATTGAAGTCCTCAGCGTTTCTTTCAATATTGGTACCATTTAAATTGTTTAAAATTTCATTCGCTTTGAAAGCACTAATTTTACCATTTTTATTAACATGTTCCTCAAAATTAACAAGAAGCAGTTGTATGTAATAAAATGTTTTGGGATACTTTTCCTAAAAAATTCAATTTTTTGAGTTATTTATTGGTTTAAAAGAATTATTAAAATTAATTAATAAATATTGATAAAAATTAAAAATCAAATTAAGGTATGTATGTAACTTTAAAATTAAATGTACTTTTTTTTAATAGTGTATAATTATTTTTGCGTTTTTTAAGTACATATCTTAATCTTAAGGTCTTGGGTTCGAGTCCCACGTTTGGCGCCAATTTATGTCGTACGTCGATTATACCCCGACATAACACAATAGTACTACATAATTAACTAATATTGTGCATATACTAATATATGATGCATTAATATCAGCAATAATTTTGAAAAGTAAATATCTATAAAAATACTGGTTTCAAAGTTGTTATCGACTAGCGATTTTCTATAAAATAAACTTAAAATATACATAATATTTTTAAAAAAATTGTATATTGAATAATTAAATTAAAAAAAAAAATTGTTTATAATATGTGTAACACCTTACCTCATTTGAGACTTTTAACATTTCGCGTAGTAAACTTTTTAATGGTCCATCATTCTACAAAATATTCAAGATTGTTGTTAATAAGACTACTTTAAAAATTGATAGATATTCAGAACTGTAACTAATTTTATATCAAACATATTTAATTATATAAAATTTTATAATGAGACAGAGTTGTATTTATGTTTTCATTTATCTATTTTTCATAAGAATTATATAAACTTTTATATAGTACGTAAGTTAAATATTTCAGTACAATTTTTACACAAATTTATTAGATATATATTATATTTATATAGACGATATTAACGAATTTCGATTAAATAGGAGAATAACGGAGTTTTAAAAATTTTTCAAAACTTCTTCACTAATTTACATTCTACTTCTAAAAGTTTCTTAAAAGTAAAAGTATCAATTATTAAGTAATGCAGTAAGTAAAATTTAGACCATTATCAGCATTAATAATAATGTTTATTTTCTTTCACGTGAAAATTAATTTTTTGGAGAAAGATATTTTAATATGTAAATATAAAATCATTTCATTTTCAACTAACCGAACGGATTTCTTTCAACAATACATCAAAATATCACAAATCTTATCTAGTCGAAGACATTATCCTCAAAAATTGAAAAAATTTCCCTCGTTCCCCGTAAATGGAGGAAACCTCCAAAAAAAATTACAAACTTAAAATTCGCTAATTTTCGAAATTTTTTCAATTAAAACTGATACAACTTTTTCAAAAATTAACAAATCAATATTACTTTTTTTTTTAGATTCTTATGTCTTTATCTATCATTTGGTATAATTTTTGTATAAATTTGACCCTTTACCTGCCCACAGGGGGGAATTCAAAATGACAACTTTTTCACAAAAAAGTAACTTTTTCAATTTAACTTTTGAAAGTGTTCCAGAAAGTCTGACACTTTTATGTAATGTGTAATGTACTTTTTTATAAAAAAAAATTTTCGGACTTTATTTTGTCTTCACGTTGAAAGCAGACATCAAACTTAATAAAAAATAATACGATTTTTGTAAAAGAATTCTTTAAAAAACTTTATAATGCTATAAAATTTTGAAAAATGTATGAATCAATATAATTTTTTTTAAGAAAAAATATTTATATAAATTTTTCATTCGAAATACTTTGTTTGAACGCAGCGCCCGGTGGTATTCACGCGGGTTTGTTAACGTTCGTGGTTTTGTTTTGTCTTAAAATTTTAGCTATGTCGAAGATAAAGAACAAGGTATGTTTGAATGTAGAATAAATTTCACAAGATATAATTATAACAATTAAATGTATACAAGAAATATAAAATCTTATATACACCAATGTGGATAGGGAGGACACTTAATACTAATGCCACTAAGGCGATGATAAAAACAAATAATAAATTATACAAGTGAGTCTTAGATAGATAAATTAACAAGCATTATACTTATCTGCTAAATGCAACGGCTGATGATAATGTTGAATATTGAAAAGATCAATTGAAGTCGAATGCCAGTAACTGACTAAAGTGAACAATATGCTGTCAACGATATTGTGATGTATCTCAGAAAATATATAGATCCAACGGCGATAAACTGAGCGTACAGGGTACGACAATCGCAAAGGTGATATTTTCTTTTTACAGTAAAACGAATACAAAACTGCTGTCTCGCAAACGCCCTAGAGCTTATAACAAAATCGTTAAGATGGCTGAGACAATGGTAACATAGAGAAGAAACCGACAACAACTCGATGTAACACAACGATAACATGAATAATCAAAAACATATTTTCTTGACAGCATATTCGATCGATGTGTATCGAACAACTTTATCTTAATCAGGATATAAATAACGAAATAACAGATCATATAGCTTTTGGAATAATCCACCAATTTTTTAAAATTAAACACTATCTAAAGATTTTCATCGAAGAGTTTTTTTTAATTTTAGTTCTTTATCTTTAATACTGTCATTAGTACATTTATAATTTTATGCCTTACACAATATTTTTAACAATTCAAAAAATTTACTAATCATTTTTTGACAAAGTACAGGTTATTTTATGTTTCATTTTCTATTTTTAAATTTGACTTTATCCCTTATTTTTTACTCCTTAAATCCATATAATCACAAAATTTTATTAATGAATCATACAAAATTAACTTTTACATAATGTGTAAGTTAAATAATACCAGTGAAGAAATTAAATTTAAACAATTTTTCCTTATAATATCTGTGACTCTCACCTCATCTGAAGAATCAGATATATCAATTTCTATATCTTTTTCTGGTCCATCATTCTAAAAAACATTTATTTTATTTGTTAATATAATTATATTTAAAATATGATATATATATAAAAATGTAATTTATTGAATATCAAACATATTTAACAATTTAAAATTGTATACTGAGTCAGAGTTGTATTTAAGACTTTACTGATCTCTTTATCAATTTATTCATATGAACTTTTATAAAATATATAGTTAAATCATTTTAGTATATTATAATTGTACGTTTTATTATTATCAATGTTTATCATATAATAATCATTTATATTCTTTTATAAACATATATGAATAAAGGAATGTAATTTAACCACTAATATGATACACATTGATTATTATATTATAATAATCATTTATAGTCTTTTATACACATATATATGTATGAATGTACCTTAGCCACTAAATAATAGTAAGAAATGTATAATAAAATAATAATAATAATTATAAATACTTGATTTGACTCATTGTTACTAGTTTCTTCATCGGAGATGGGCATTCCTGTTAAAAATATGGGTAAGATAATTACACACATAAAACAAAAGAATATTCTAGAACAAAAATAGAAACCCATTTTTAATAATGATTATAATTGTAATAATAATGAAAGTCTAATACTAACAATATAATTTCAATAATATTAGGTTAACGTTATAAATTATTTTTATTATAAAATTAATTTTTTTTTTATAAAACGATTTAGTGCATTTGAAATATCTAAAATATGGTAGAAAAAATGTATTTTCAAAAAATATATAATTAATGTATAACCATTTTAAATAATACTTGTATGAATCAAATTTATTTTATATAATAGATGAGTTATACATTTATAAAAATTATTTATAGAGTATTGCATGATATTTTTATGTATTTCTATTCAAATGAAAAAAAGTATAGGATAGAAATGCCATTTGTTTTAAAAAAATGCATATTATTAATACAAATATTAATTTTAAATTCAATCAAGTGTGTTATTTATTACTAAAATGTTTTCCAAATTTTATTAATAGTGTATGATAGAAAATTTGCGTTATAAATAAGTTTATTTTTTTGGATTTAAAAAATATTCGCTATTTTCCGATTTTTAAAGGAGATATGTTTGAATATTGAATAATTGATTAATATCAAACAATGAGAAAATTTTCAAATATAATTTTAATGAAGAAATGAATAAAAAAAATGTAATGCATGATTTGCGATTATTTACATTTAATCTTAATAGTGTAGGGTTGCAAGTTAATAAGATTACGAGGGCTTCCAAGTAAATATAATGTTTTAAAACCCAACCATATGTCTATACGAACAACCCCAACCCAAACTAAAAATTAAAAAATGTTATTATTCATTAATTAAAAAAAATATATTTTTAAAATTATTAATTTTTTACAAATTTTCAAAACAAACTATATTTTCTATTTTATTTCATTTTTTATGATATATTTCAACTAATACTACTCCAATGCTATAAAATTCAACTTAATAATTTAAGTAATTTATATCAAGTCAGTATAAACATTTTAAAAGGTTCTAATGTAACGTTGAAACTTTTAAATTAACAAAGTATAAAAAATTATCTGTGTAATTATTTTTGTGTTATCAATATATTGTTATCACATGTAAAAAATTCAATAATTTTTTAAAAATAATATATCGAAATATTTGTCTTTACAGAAGGATTTTTTTTTGTAACTTGACTCGATAACCTCTAATATAGGTTTTTCTTTATCGTTTCATAGAATATTCTTCGAAAAATCGAGGTAAAAATTTTAAATGCTGTGCGCCTTGATTTAAATTTTTCCAAATGATCTTACATTTTCAGAATATTATTTTTTTTTACTAAAGAAAAATGTAGAAAGGTATCCTGTAAGAAATTTCGAAATTAGTTAAATAAGAACCACCATAATATACAAAGCTGTTTAGTTCTTATAAATCACTTGATGAATTTTTTTTTAATATTACTTATCAAAATTTGAAATTAACACGGTACTTTTGAAAAAAACCAAACCCAACCAAACTTTTATTTTATTATATTGTAATGATACCAATTATTTTGATTGAGCCGAAGGCATGTTAATATTTTTTGTTTTGGATATTTCGTAATAAGTTTGAACGCGTTAGCTGTGTCATAAATGCTACATCGACGAACAGGTTGGCAGGTATCAAATTGTTTACACTCCACCCTTTCTAGTTCTCTGATACACTAAACGTATCATTATATATTACGTTTTTCAGTGTTTATCTTGTTTTCTGTAATTTCCCTTTTGTCATTGACCTTAACCACTCACAATAGCTTAAGACACCTAGGCAACTCTGTCGGTTTGACACGATGGTTGTCGGAAAATAACTATTGACAGAACTGATCGTTCTATTTCCCATCCGTAAACGTAGTTTTTTTTTAGACCAGTGCACTGCAACTTATTGAATTATTATATATTTTTAGCTTCCATGCGATGCTGAAAAGGTATTAGATTTATTATTGTAGTAAATAGCTGAATAACGTCGATTTTAGTATAATACGGGGTTTAAAACGATACTAAGCAATTTTTAAAATTCTTAAGCAATACAATAATGTCATATAGAAGGGAAATGCAGGGTAAGCAAATTAATAATGGTGGGAAAAAGAATATAAAAGGGAAACATGAAAAGGATAGAGGGCTGGACGTTTTTGACAAAGAAACGTCGAGTGATGGGTCAGGAGGTTGGACGCGAGTGTCTTTGTACGATTTAATTTTGTTTTGTGTTATATTTTACTATTACTTTTTAACTTTGTGTTTAATTCGTTTCTTAAATAAAATAGCTATTTAAAAACCTGGACTTAACATAAATATTTTATATTCAATGTGTTCATAGAATTGTGTGTGTTTGCGGCTAGAGTCAAGGTTGGACTACTGGTCCTTTAGTCAATCTTAATAATTAGTGTACGAGCTAGCTAGTTTTTGGGCTTAACCGTCTTTTAGTGGGTATAGTAAAAAGGTAGTTGTGTTGGTGGCTGACAAGGAGCCACCCTTCAGTCTGCTACTTTTGAGCTAGACTATGCTGACGGGTCTAAACTCTACCCCTTTAGTAGTCCACTAATTTGAAGGATTGGGGCTGATCAGTTTATCCAACGGGAGGACTCGAGAAGAGCTTGAACGACGAACTCATCGTCAATATATATATGTATATATATATAACATTAATTAATTTGTGTAAAACTTTTGTGTCTACGTTGGGGAACTACCAACGTACGACACTATGATGTGTTTTTTTTTGTCTGTTACCACATTTTTTCAGCTCTCACCAAACCGATTTCTTTCAATGATACGTCAAAAGATCACAAATCGTATCTAGCTTAAGACATTAACCTCAAAAATTGAAAAAATTTCCCTCGTTTTTCAAAAATGGGGGAAACCTCCAAAAAAATTACAAATTTAAAAATCGCTAATTTTTGATATTTTTGATATTTTTTTTTAATAAAAACTGCCATAACTTTTTCAAAAACGAATATCAATATAACTTTTTTTAATAGATGCATGATGTCCTTACTTTATGTACTTGCCCACAGGGAGGGATTTAAAATGACAACTTTGTCACAAAAAATTTACTTTTTCAATTTAACTTTTGAAAGTGTTCTGGAAAGTCTGACACTTTTATATATATCTTAAATTAAAGCTAATGTGATGTACTTTATAATGCTATAACTTATTGAAAAAAGTATGGATCAACACAATTTTTTTATGAGAAATAATATTTTTTAATATTCTCTTTTTCATTCAGGATATTAATAAGGAAATAGCAGATCATGTAGCTTTTGGAATAATCCACCAATTTTTTAAAATTAAACACTAATTTTTTCAATTAAAACTGATATAACTTTTTCAAAAATTAACAAATCAATATTACTTTTTTTTTTAGATTCTTGATGTCTGTATCTATCATTTGGTATAATTTTTTTATAAATTTGACCATTTACCACCTGTCCACAGGGGGGAATTCAAAATAACAACTTTTTCACAAAAAAGTAACTTTTTCAACTTAATATTTGAAAGTGTTCGAGAAAGTCTGACACTTTTATATATATCTTATATTAAAGCTAATGTAATGTACTTTTTTATGGGAAAAATTTTCGACATTTATTTTGTCTTCACGTTGAAAGCAGACATCAAACTTAATAAAAAATAATACGATTTTTGTAAAAAAATTCTTTAAAAAACTTTATAATGCTATAACATTTAAAAAAGTGTATGGATCAACACAATTTTTTTATGAGAAGTAATATTTTTTAATATTCTCTTTTTCATTCAGGATATTGATAAGGAAATAGCAGATCATGTAGCTTTTGGATTAATCCACCAATTTTTTAAAATTAAACACTATCTGATGATTTGCATCGAAGCGTTTTTTTTTTATAGTGATTTTAATCACTGTCAGATATCATTATACTTGATCCAACTTTGCCATGTCACCACTGTGCCGCGAAGACATTATCCTCAAAAATTGAAAAAAATCTGACCCTTTACCTATGTTTTGAACTTTGTAATGCTAGTTTTCTTGTAATAAGTTATTCTGAAAAATTTAAAGTAAATAGTAATTATATAATTTCCTGATATAATATTAATCTTAACAATAGTATTTTTTAATTCTCATAAAATTTTCTATTTAATAATGTCAGTTTCAAACTTGAAATTGAGCTATATGTTATAATAACAAATTCAAATTTTTTTTTATCATAAGTCCAAAAAATAGGTTAAAAATTATATTTTAAAATGAATATTTTTAACATATTAAAAATCAAAAAAAAAAATAAAATTTGAAATTAGCATGAAAAATTTGAATAATAAAATTATATTATTGACTCTGATGAAAATTTTTTGAAGACCATTTATTCATAATTAACAACAATTTATTGTCTAAAAAGTTTTGTGTCAAGCTCTTCAAATTTTATACACGTTTGCCATAAAATTAATGACAAATTTATAATTTTTTATATATTCTACGAAAAAATTCCAATACTAAATTATTAAAAATCATTCTTATACTAATTTAATAGCTATAATAAATATTTATTCATATCCTTTTAGATCAAAAAACTACTAATCAGGAATAATAAAGGAAATAGGTATGTATTTTGCTTTTGGCTTAATACACAAACCTATTAAAATTAAACACTGTCTACAGATTTGTATGGAAGCGTTTCTTATGATAGTGATTTTAATCACTGTCAGATATCATCTATACTTGTCCCAAACTTTCCATGTCCACACAGTATCCAGTTTTTTTGACCATTCGGTTTTTTGCCTTGTATAAAGTTAAATAGTCTTTTTTTTAATAAATTCCTTTTAATTTAACTTGATAACAAACTATTTATCTCACGTAATTTGTCGTCAACAAACTCGTGTAATTCAATTCTTTTATCCTTCAAAAATCACCTTCCACTAGTTTATAAGGTACGGGCAACGACCTATTGTTTGAAGTCATCTAATCTAAACATGGTAAAAGGAATACTTTGTCACGAGGTTTTAATGTACATCGACTCAACGATCATTTGATACAAACTTAGGTTTTTAAGTATACAATTTTGTTTTGCTGGATATATAATTATACAAAGTTAATAAAAATAATTTTTTTTTGTGTGGCGACTCGTCATATAAGATAATACTTAGTTTCTTTTTAATTAATAAAAATAATTATATTATCTTCATTGTTTAATTTTCTTATTTTCTTTAAAATCCAGACCGACTTTATGTTTGGCTGAATAGGTTGGCAACCCATTTCAATT